TTGCCAAGATGAGGTTCAGTTGCCAGAAGCACCACGGCGCCCTCGATTGTTGGCGGAGTTGGGGCGGCCATTACGGGAGCCGGAGCCGGTGGAGTTGCTGGAGCCGCCTTGCTTGCCCTTGGGACGAGGGCCACGGTGACGAGACGAGTAGCCATCGCGGTCGCAGGTGGCCGCGTTCGTGGACAACTTGAAGCAGCCGGTGGAGTTCTGGAACTGAGTGACGCGCTCGTCGAAGTTGCTTAGCATGGCCAAGAGCTCATCGAGGGAGACAGGCGTGACGCGGGCGTTGAGAGCAGAGACAAGGAGCTGATAGTCCATGTCCAGCCCGTGAAGGATGTAGGAGATGAGCTCGTCATCCTGGATTGCCTTGCTGGCCACGGCGAGCTCGTCGGAGAGGCCACACATGGAGGCGAAGTAGGCGTCAACCGACTGGTTACCCTTCTGCGCGCTGATGAGGGCAGTACAGATGTTGTTGACGTGGCTCAAGGACTGCGATGAAAACATACCTGCCAGCATCGTCCAGAGGCCGTGCGCAGTGGTGATCGTGGTCACCGTGATGAGCACCTCTTTTGCGAGGTTGTTGAGCAGATAGCCGAGCACTTGCTAGTCCTCCCTGACCCAGATGGGGTGGACAGGATTGAGCTCGTAGGTCTCCTTCCCGTCCTCGTCCTTGGTGACGAGAAGCCGAGCCGGTTCTGCCGCGCTGACGTCGACATAGCCAAAAACACCGGCTCTCCTCAGTTGCGGCGTGATCTGAGTACGCCAGATCACATTTTTTTTTTAACCGGGCATGCCTCTTTCCATTTGCAAGAAACGGAAATACAACAGTATCCGATACAACCAGGAAGAAAGGAAAGAAAGGCAGCGAGTTCAACGCACTGCCAGGAAACCCACTATGCTCGCCCGCCATCGAAACGAGCACCATGGGGCGAAAACCTGACAGCACCTACTTAGTTCAAACCTATCTATTACAAACCAGGGAGATACACAAAAGTGAGGCCAGTTAACATATCCTCAAACACAGATAGCACAAGTTTTTTAACTTTCCAAAAGCGAAGCCTGAGACGAAAGCCCAGAACACCTCCCCCTAGCACAACCAGACGTTTGATGATCGACGCATAATCATCACCAATCACCTCCAGATGATCACTGGAATCTGCTGCACGGAGTTGAGTGGCCTTAATTTTCAGGTCTGATGGCTGCTCTGCTGGAATAGAAAGCTGTTGGCCTTTGAGCTTTAATTACAATGCATTCATGCATATGCATCTGTTGGCTATCCATGAGATGAGGAATATATAGTTTGAACAAATGAATGATTGGGCATTTGAGCCGTAGGGTCTTGTATGCAACTGAATGCCTCACCTGCTCCAGAGAAACAGTGGAGTAGCATCCTCTGTTTGTTGTTCACTAATAGAATTCCACTATTGCTGCATTTTCCCAAAGATACGTATGTATTTATAATAGTTGGGTTTCGGGGAGAGGGTTGACACCTAAATACAGCAGCTTGCTTTGCAACTTTGTTCTTGCCTAGTACGTAATTATCTATATCAATCTGCAACGAGGCTAGCTTCAGACTTGGGGCTGCTTTGCTATGAAAAGCTGCACATGTTCTCCAGAACAGGTCATTTCAGAAGAAACTACTGCACTGTGCAGCAGAGAAGCAGGCAGGGCTCAGGCTACTCTTTTGTGGTGGTTTTGCCTTGAGCAGAGTCAGTTAGCATTAGTCTGAACAATTAGGAACAATGAACAGATATCCCAGCCTTGTTTTAGGCATTTATTTTTGTATGGCATGCGGGATGTGCCGCATCCATTATCAATTTTCATTGGCACAAGGGTCAGTCATTGATTAAGCTGCCACAAAGCTGGCTCTCTTTGATTAGAGCATCTCTAGCCGATCCCTTATAATTTACCTCAGGGATATATGTCCAATTACAATGCATTCAGAAGGGACTAGTGTACTGTGCAGCACCCATGTGTTGCTGTTTGATTTTGCCTGAGAGCATAGAAGCAAGCAGGGTTCAGACTACTCTTTTGTGTTGATTTTGCCTTGAGCCGAGTCAACAGTTAGGATTAGTTTGAACTATTAGGATTAATGAACAGGCAGCTCAGCCTCTCCCCCTCTCTCTCTTAATCATTTCTTTGGCATGGCATGTGGCATGTGCTGCATCCATCATTAGTTTTTCATCGAATAGGATTCAGTCATTGTGCATCTCTGAGCCATGTTCTTAAGGCTATGTATGTATGCATATTTTTGTTTAATCTTGCAGGCTAGCATAATTTCCAGAAAGAAGAGTCGGAGTCCATAATAATTGTCAATAGTGAAAGGAACTTTTGGTTATAACGTTGACAAGTTTTCAGAAGAGTCTGCTGGATTGGCGGCTCGTTGTCGAGCTGCTGTGTGAGATCACCAAGAGACGAAGGAAATGGAACATCTTCAACGCCCTCGTCTCGCTTCTCCTATAATCATGATTAAATTCGATAATCCGATCCGGGTATATGTGTATGCACATTAGAAAGATTTGAGAGATAGGGTAACCCATGCATTGCATTTTTGTAATGTAGGAAGGACGAAAGAAGCGATCTTTCATTCATTCTTTTTGCTCTGTCTAGTCATTCCTAGGCAAAATGGGAGCTCTTCTTGAGATGTACATTACTAACCAAATTGATGGCGTTACTTCACCGTTTCAAGCAAGCATTTGACACCCCTTGATTGTTGGAAGGAATTAAGCTGACGACATTTGCCACCGCGGGGGTTTCAGGCAGAGGTTTCAGAACTAAGAGCAACTCTAGCCGTCCCCCTTTCCTTTAATCCCCTCAACCTTTCCTCCAATGATAGAAGAGTAATTACAATGACTTATTCCAAACAGCCTGTCGAATCGACATATTTGACGGGTAGAGTGTTGAGAGGGCACATTACATTACCAAACAAATTGGTGGCGTTAGTTTTGCCTTGTTTCATAAGCATTTGATGCCTTTGATTATCAAAAGGAATTAAGCATAACGTTTTTGCCCATTTACTGCTGCTCCTGGAGTAGCATCCTCTGCTTTCATTTACCAACAGAGCACGACTCTTACTGCAGTGCACTTTTCCCCAGATATATATATATATATATATATATATATATACTGAGGTTTCATTAATATAATTTATGATATGCAACAAGGGAACAGGTAGCATTCTGAATATAATTAAGAATGCAAAAAGGAGCAGGTATAGCTTACACATCGGTGCACCGGCAAGTGGACAAAGCCTTGAGCTCACCCGGGACCATGACTAGTTCTTGCTGGAAGTTTGCCAGAAGCTGTGAAGGTTCTTCCTGGAGGTCTCATCCAACATTGCTAGGTTCATTTCTCTCCTCCTGCTGATGATCCTGCCGCGCTTTTGACAGCGAACGCCCGTCAACGGCAAGTAGCAGTAATCTAGGTGAGCACGGCTTTTTGTACCAGATTCATGATTTGATTTCCTTTCCACGTATGAAGGTCATTTGGCCACTATGGTGCCCCTTTTTTTGTATTAATAGAGTACAGATGCAGTAACAGGCTGCTCAATTTAAAATTGCCTGTATTACAGCAGGCTTACAGGGATAATACTTCTTCATTTGTCTGTCTTGCCTTGCTGCAGGACATTTGTTTTTTGCTTTCACACAGTATATGCGTCATCGAGGATGTCGGTATTCCACTCACCTAGTCTATTCGTTAATGCTAGAAACACTTGGGAGAAAAATATATGATCTAAGGTACTTCCTCTGTAAACAAATATAAGAGCGTTTAGATCACTAGAGTAGTTATCTAAACGCTTTTGTAATTGCAGGTAGCATCAATAATTTAATATATGTTACCATAGCTTTACAACCTGGTGCACGGGCAAAGTGGACAAAGTTGTGAGCTCACCCGGGACCATGGTTGCTTCTTCGTGGAAGCTTCCCAGCATTTTGTATGCAACAAGGAGCAGGCAGCATAATGAATTTTGAATGCAATAAGAAACAGGTAGAATAATGAATTTGGCATAACAACAAGGAGCAGGTAGCATCATGAATTTAAAATATGTTGGTATAATAGCTTTACACCTCGTTGCAACCCCAGACCATGGTTGGTCCTTCCAAGAAGCTGTGAGGGGTGACTTTTGGACATTGTTAAGCACCCCTCCAAGATTGTTAGCTTCATTTTTCTCCTCCACCTTGTGCGCTTTTTACAGTGAGTGCTCGTCGAAGCCAAGCAGCATCGATCCAGGTGAGCAGGTCTTGAACCTTGCTTTCTTCTACGGTTTTGATTCTCCTTCTGTGTTCCACATGCCTTGTTTTTTTTTTGTTTGTTTCTCTATGTGTATTCTTAAAAGTAGAATCCAGGGATCTATTTTAGCTTAGAACAAATCTTTTTTTTTTGAAGAACACTCTGTTATGAAGATGTGAAGCAGGCGGACAAGATAGTTTACTTTTTTCATGTATTGCACCCAGCGTTGCATAAATAAATTAATAAAAGGAGAAAAATTTCTGTCATGTTCCTCCTCATGTTCTTCCTCTCAGTTCAGTTCCATATGTGTATAAAGTCCATGTTTGGATCAGGACGTAAATACGCTGTGCTAAGTGCGGGCGGGTGAATCGTCCATTACACTTTAATTACCTGCAAAATGGTGACAAGTGTTGGCTTATTTTGGTTTGGCGTGCTAGAGTGTGGTAGAAACCAAAGAATTCCTGAGTTAGTTTGGCACGCCACACATGCACAGCTCGGCGGTGCAAGGCATCATCCAAACAGGCCTTAAATCTCACTGGAATATTGCAGAGACATACTGGATTTCTAACTAAATTTTCACTTGATTGAAATTTTGCTGGTGTGTCTGTTCAATCTAACTTGATTGAAATTTTGGTGGAAACGTATCTGCTGAAAACAACTACTGCAATAGTCGGCTTGTTATATACTCGTACTGCAAAATTTACTTCCACAGCGCTAATTACATCTTGTTTGCTCGTAGGAAAATAATAGGTGTCCAGACTCTGGCCACCATGAGCTTACCTGCCATTGGGATCATTGGTGCCATCAATGAATGCGTCACTTTGTTTCAGTGGGCCAAGTCTGCCATTTCATCTCTGCATTCCCGATGGAGTGGCTCACAGGAGCAAAGCCTCCAGGATGGTGTGTTGCTATTGGAGAGTGGACTACAGCGCCTCAGGGATACTTTTCCTGCAATGTATGACCTAATCAACAAAGCAGAGTGGAGAAGCCATGAGAAAAGTGTGGCCAAACTGCTTCCCAATCTCAAGGATGCAGTGTATGAGGCCGAGGACCTTCTCGGTGAGTTCAAATGGTACGAGATGAAGGTGAAAATGGAGGTCATTGCAAGCAAATCTTCTTTTATTGAATTTTTTGATACGGTCATCCAAGGCAGCTTCAACAAACTGAATGATATCCAGTTGAGGTTGGATCACCTTTCGAGACAGTTGGAGAATATGGGACTTTGTGGAGTTACACAACGCTTTGACAAATTAGTCAGGCCTGAGACCACCTCTTTGCCAAATGAAACAAAAATATTTGGTCGTGACGAAGAGCTGGAGCAGGTGTTGGGTTTTCTTAATGTACCTACAAATTCAAAACGCAAGCGAGCAACTAGTTCAACTAATGCATCAACAAGCGCATCAGCAACCAACCAAGTTAGTAATGAATCAAGAATATCTAGTATTCATGTTCTGTCAATAGTTGGAATTGGGGGTGTAGGAAAGACTACTTTGGCCCAACATATCTCCAACCATCAACGAGTGAAGTCACACTTTGAGCTAATAATTTGGGTTCGTGTCTCAGATAATTTTGATGTAAAGAGGTTAACTAAAGAGGTCATACAATCTTGTAACGGAAAGGAGGCAACATTTGATAATTTGGATTCTCTTCAACGTGCTCTTTCAAACCATGTGGCCAAAAAAGGTTATTGATTGTCCTTGATGATATGTGGGATGATGCCCTGAAGGAAAATGGGCAGCGCTGGAAGAGGTTTTGTGCACCTTTTAGAAGTGTCCAAGAGGGAAGTGTGATGTTGGTCACCTTTAGATGTCCAACAGTTGACGAGGGGGTGCGCACAATGGATCCTGTTATATTGGAAGGTCTAGAGGATGACGTTTTTTGGAATTTCTCCAAATTGTGTGCGTTTAGATCTGAGAGTTCTTACAATAATCCCGAGTTGGAATGCATTGGTAGAAAAATACTTCCTAAACTGAAGGGTTCTCCCCTGGCCGCCAAAACTCTCGGTCGTATGTTAAGCATGGACCTTCAAACATCACATTGGAATTCTATACTTGAGAGTGAACTTTGGGAGTTGAGTCAAGAAGAGACTGACATTTTGCCTGCCCTTCGGTTGAGCTTCATGTATTTGTCATTCCATTTGAAGCAATGTTTCTCATTCTGTGCTGTGTACCCAAAAGATTACAAATTTGAGAAGGTTTCCTTAGCTGAGATTTGGAGAGCAGAAGGCTTTGTGCATCCTCAAGGTGGTGCTGCAATTCTATCTACAAGTTTGCAGTATTTTGAAGACCTTGTGGCACGGTCCTTCTTTCAATGTGTTGGTACCAGATATGTCATACATGACTTGATGCATGACATGGCACAAAAGGTTTCAGAGCACGACTGCTTCATCTTAAGAAATAAGAGTGACTTTGATAAAGTCCCCCAGAGTGTCCGTCATCTGCACATACTCCCTAATTGTGACTTTGATGATTCTAACTTGTTGAGTCTATGCAAGTTCACGAAGCTGCGTACCCTAATATGTAATAAGAAATTAGGGAACAGAACAATCTTTGTAATGCGTCAATGGGGTACTAAACTTCTACGTATGTGTGTTTTTTCTTCTGCCTTCGTAAATCAGTTACCGGATAGTATTGGCAACTGGAAGCATCTTTGGTACCTTGTAATCTCCAGAATTTGTCCTTTGAAGAGGATTCCTTCAACTTTCTGTTGGTTATATAATCTGCAGACTTTGTATGCTAAGAACTGCAAGCTAGAAAGCTTACCCAGTGACTTTGGAAAGTTGATCAATTTAGAGAGTTTTGGGTCAGGGGGATTTTCATATTCTGCCGGTGGTGAGATGGAACTTGATTCAGCCATGGGGTTAGGCCAAGTAATTAGGTTAATGAAGAATCTGAACCAATTTCATGGAAAGTTGACTATAAATAATGTTCGGGTCCTAAGTACGGAATATGCAGCAGAATTTGAACTGAAGAATAAGAAGTATCTAGAAGAGTTGTCACTGATGATGGGTTCATCGATGATGGGTTCATCGATGGAAGGCACCTTAGAGTACCAGAACAAACAAGTCCTTGAAGTTTTGCAACCTCCCATCAGTGTAAAGTCTCTGTATCTTGAGGATTATGCCAGTGCCTCGCTCCCAAGCTGGTTTCTGCCACACAACTTGCCAAGCTTAAAATTGCTTACTTTTGTATGCTGTGTTTCGACTTGGGAGCATATCATCTCCCTCGACGTCAGCGTCAGTACCAACTGAAAGGTTTGTGGATTTTCATTACCTTGAAGAACTGAAAATGGATTACAGTACAGACATCAGCACCCGAAGGTTGGTATCACCGTCCCTTAAGAAGCTCGATCTATCGAATTCTGGCATCTTTTGCAGTATTGACTGCTTCTCCCTCACCAACTTTAATTTAACATGTCGATATGTCACATCCATCCAACTACAAATGTGGAGCCTTCCGTCTCTACGGCACGATTCCAGAATCATCGCTTGGCTGCTGCTTAGATGAGATGAAACCTGAGCTGACTTCTCTGTTTTAGTACCGGCCAGGCCTGCTTCTTAAGTGAACTTGAGCATTATCTGCAGGTCTCTTGCATATATTGAAGGCAACACTAGAACATTCCCGTCCCTCAATGTCCTAAAGGTTTCATCCTGTCCTGAGTTGTTAACCCTGATGGCATCCTAACGCAAGAATATCTACCCGCTATTTTGGAAATTGACATCAGGCATTGCCCCAAGCTACCGTCTCTGCCCATTGCGTATTGTCCAAATCTGAAACATCTGGTGGTTGAAGAGTGCCCAAGTCTCAAGTGGCAGGCGGGATTGGAGTTACCATCCTCTCTCCAAAAGCTCGGCTTAACACAATGTGGGGATATCTCACCATATGTTCCCAGCTGCCTACTAGGCCTCACATCCCTCGTCTCACTGAGCATTGGTGGCCAAGGTATAACATCCATTCCAGGCGACATTTGGCATAGTAATCTTCCATCACTGGAGGAGTTGGTGATTTCGGGTTGTCCAGATCTAGTTTCAATTGGTGGAGCAAAGGCAGTTGCAAAAATAAAGAAGGTGATGATATCCAACTGTCCAAAGTTAAAGAAAGCGGAGCAGATCAGAAGAACCGGCCTAAAGTTATTCCATTTAGATTACGTTTTGAGGAAATTTGCTAACCTGTAGTTGTATGAGCGTTGTCATGTATGTATTATGTCCAGCTTGTACTTCTCTGTTGTTTGAAATTCTGTATATACTGAGAATAACGCATGTATTATGCAGTAGCAAACCAACTTAAATTGTTATCACTAAAGTAGGCTGAACTTACTCGTTGATGACACCTGCATGTACTTTATGTCCTGTTTCTGCTTGGCAGTTTGAATGCAGTCAATATAGCATATTGATTTGCTAATATTTCCCGGAAAGAAACTTCGATGTTTACACTAATTCCATACATGTAACAGTCGTACAAACTTGCTAACCTGTTGCTGTGTGCTGTCGTGCAGCAACTCTTGTCTTCTTTTTTTGTGCCAAATTGGCTTTACTGACCATGTTTTCTTCTTCAAGTACAAGGGACAAGTAGATGACAAACGAGCAGGGAGCCGTTACTGCATTAATTACTTGGAAGTTGAAAGAGCTGAGGATAACAAGACGCCTCACGTCTTTCGTCTTCGTCGTCTGCAATCCATAATTGTGCTGAAAACTCTCAGTTCCCAGTTAATAAACTTGTTTTAACCATGGAAATGACAGTTAATAAACATGTTGTGTCTGCCATGCATGAGCACTGCATCTGCCTGTTCATGATCTTTCCCCCTTCCACTGTAGTTTATGTTGCTTTGTGACTTTTACTTGTGTTGTTTTTCTTCTGTAGTTTTCCATTTCTATGTCCAGTAATAAAGAAAAAATAATCAGCAAGTTTGCTGTAGCAGCTTGTAGGGGGCAGATTTGTACACCTATTTCCTGAGTTTATTCTTTCAAGAGCCGGTCTCCTGGGTTGTTCAGACTGGATCTGAATGCATTTGTGTATAAACGTATGGAACGCATCTGCATTGGGTGGCTGTGCCGTTGCGCAAAACATATACTTCCTCCGTTCCTAAATGTAAGTCTTTGTAGATATTTCATTATGGACTACATACGGAGCATAATGAGTGAATCTACACTCAAAATGCATCTATATACATCCGTATGTGGTTCATAGTGAAATCTCTACAAAGACTTATATTTAGGAACGGAGGGAGTAGACTGCAAACACAACGCCACCGTCACCCGCTCCCACTTGCTTCAACTTAAACCGATCATATCCTTTCTGTAGCAGTAGGATTTATTCTCTTCAACTCCCACAAGAAGATTGGTATATACTAGGCTAGCGTTTATAAATAACTTTAACTGATTGGCTGACACATATAGTAGAACACAGAGGTGAGCTTAATGGTTAATGTATAACATGCCAACAACTAATATAGGAAATATATTTAATTTTTGAGCTGCAGCAAACATTTCTCAAGAGCACATTGACTATTTCTTATTTGCTGGCTCAAATGTAGACTCAGAAACAGGGTATCCAAACACAAAAACAGAGCAGGTGGAAACGATTTGCAGTAGGGTACTAAACCAAACCAAACCAAACCAGAATTGGAATTTTTTGCCAGTTGATTCTGGTGATGTGTACATCATATCACACACAATCAACATCCCATCTTACGCTTAGATACTACTCACTCTATAAACTAATATAAGACTTTTTAGATCATCACTTTAGTTGCAACTTGCAACACCAGTCTGTAGCAGAGCAGAGCAGCGTCAGTCACTCAAACCTGAACAGTCTAGCTAGTGCAGCAGCAGCTCCTTCAAGTTCATAGTTATAGGGTCGTCCAAGCTGATCACTTCCGGCGGCCCTTTGGACCAACACAGCTCGGGACAAGACTCCATCACAGTCAGCTAGCTGCTCGGCCCCACAAAAAAAAACTAGCTTCTCCATCCCCAAGGATTTCTTTTTTCATGCGAAATGCCTTTTAGTCTTCGCCGATTGTTCTGACTGATATTCCGGTTGCTGGCACACCGTTTTACATGTTGCGTCAAAAAAAAAAAGTCTCTGCTATAGCTTGTTTTTCTCGAACTCAGAAATTCTCTGCCAGTTAAATTGGACATGAATCAAAGGATAATGCATAATTAATTTCCACAGTATAATTGCCGAATTGTTTATTGATTTGACTCCAAAAAGACAGTGCTGAGACGAATGTTGTCCAAACATAGATACAACAAATACAAGAAATATATGCAGACAACCAATTCAGGAAATATGTTCTTAATTCAAAGAAAGAAAGATCATACAACCAACTGATACTACCAGGTGACCTCAAAGGACAAACTGTCTACTGAACAGACAATGGAAAGAACCCCGTATTGTCATTTGACAATCCCTCTTGTGGAGCCTTCCTAGTATTCATTTTCCAATATTTCCCAGCTGAATATAGAGTCAATTCTGAAAACACAAAAAACAAAAAAAAACCTGAATGGAGCATTTGCTCGTGCTGCTTCGCATGCTTAATAAGATCAGAATAATTTTTTGTGAATACATACAACACCCATCCTATTTGTAGCCACCAATCATCCATCAGGTTGCTATATAATTGGTTGTCTGCATATATTTCTTGTATTTTCTGCATAATCTGGTGGAAAACGAAGTTCCAAGTGCAAATTTTT